AGCCTTGTTTGTGGGCTGGCTGCTGAATCCAGCAGTTTTGTTACTGGCCCACCACAAAAAAAGGCAGAGACGTTGTGAGCAATCATTCAGAAACACCTATAGCAAAGTGACAGAGTAACTTTACGTTTTTTGAATCTAATAATAAAAAATTGAGTTTCTGTTTTATATGTCTGGGTTTTAATTTTATTTTTCTAGTAGTTCAATTGTATTCTATTTTATGAAAGCATCAATCCATAGTTGAATGTTAATTAAAAGAAAGCAAAAAGAAAGATTCTTCCCAAGATTAGAAATACTCGGCAAGTTAGTGCAGTGGTGTTCAGGGCCCAGCCGACCTGAATGGGATTTCAGCTCTTCCACATAGAGCTATGTGGACAAGTTACTTAAACACTCTGTGTCCCAATGGCTCTGGCTGCAAAATGCATATCACAATATTTTCATCCCAGAATTCTAGGGAAAACCCAATAAATATTGGCTTTGGTGTCAGATGGCCTTCAGTTTCCTCAACTGTGAAATGGATGTACCAATCCCAGTATCACAGTGGTTTAAGGATCAGATAACTTGGTTAAATTCTGTAGTTCAGTGCCTATGCAGTGTCTAGCAAAAACCCCAAGTCAGCAGTCATTATTATCGAAAGTGTCTTAGGCATAGTAGGCCCTTGATAAATATTAACTTATATCATCCCTCATTTGTGTAGAGGATTCTGAAGCACTCATGTCTCCTGATTTCAGTCCAAAATTTTGACTGGGAACAACTCAGTCTGACCATGTAATATACTGATGCTCTCAAAAAGGATCTGGACCCCTTGAGAAACAGTTTGTGGATGTGGCCCAACAGGACAGGCTGCTTCTGTTTACCAGAGGATGTTTCTTCTCTAATATTTACATCTGAGAAAATTCTCCTCTCTGTTGTCTCTGTGTTGAATGATATAATGCTGGGAGAAGGCCATTGACAGCTATATCATAGGAATGCACAGAATAGCTATTTCAGGTAATGGGGAACAATAGCAAAGAGAGATTATCCTCTCTTCTTTCACAAATTATTAAACATAATGTGTCTCTTCATGCCCATCTTCTAAAAAAATGCATAAGGGGCTAGTTGTAATGAGTAAAAAGAAGACATTGGTTGGATGCAATGACTCACACCTGTAATTCCAGCACTTTGGGAGGCAGAGGCAGGCAGATTACCCGGGGTCAGGAGTTCAAGACCAGCCTGGCCAACACGGTGAACCTCATCTCTACAAAAAATGCAAAAATTAACCAGGCGTGGTGGTGCATGGCTAGAATCCCAGCTACTCAGAGGCTAAGGCAGGAGAATCACTTGAACCTGGGAGGTGGAAGCTGCAATGAGCCAAGATTATGTCATTGCACTCCAGCCTGGGAGACAGAATGAGACTCTGTCTCAAAAAAATAAAAAATAAAAAATAAAAAGACATAAAAAGCTCTACATCATTTTAGAGTTTATAAAATGTTTTGATCTGACTTGATTTTTACAATACTATGGGCAGAGCCTTCTATTTCCGCCTCACTGATAAACTCAGCTGATAAATTAAATGGTTTTCTATGCATACATTGGTAGTGAAGGCATATCTTAAACTTGAACCCAATCCTTCAAATCCCAAAATATGGGTACAGAAAATACAGGTGAAGCAAGTTACATTCTGAAAAAAAATATTTCAGAAGAAAGTCTCAGAAAAATAGTCAAATATGTGAAAAACTTTAAATTATGAATACAGATCTCTGTGAAAGAAATACGATGGCCAACCAAGAATGAATATATGGTTGGGATGTGGGTAGAAAAAAAAACAATTGATGTCTATCCAAAAATAAAGAATATTAGGAAAAAATGTTTAAAGGATTACAGCTTGTGTTTGAGGTATAACTAGATTCAAAACCCATAGGTATAAATGGGAGAAAAGGGAAAAAAAAAAAAAAAAAAAAAAACGAAAAAGCTGACAGACATTCCTAAATGGCCCCAGGCTTAGAGACAGAGGCCGCCTTTGAGGATGTCAGACAAACCCCACAGAGAGCCCCAGCGGGCACCTTCAGCAGCAGAACTAACCTTACCCATTGGCCCACTTAACCATTACCACTGTGAAGACAGTTCTTGAAGGCCAGGGATAGATCATTCTGCCAGACAAATGTCTCCAGCTGCTACCGAGGCCTGCAACCTCATCGGCTTAGTATTTGACCCTTAATAAAAGGTCAGTTACCTTCGCAAGGGCAGCACCTCAAATGTTCTCAGTCATCTAGATCTTTGTGTGGATGAATATCAGGTTGTTACTTGAAAGGAGGTCTTAGCAGTAGAGGAAAACAGAGAGGCGGATCAAATAAGGAGAGAGTGCCCCTTCTCAAGAAAGGCTGGCAATGCTGATGGGAAATACTGGCTTGTCACAATTTTCCCAGTTTCTGTAGTTATCATGATCGCCTGACACAATTCTCTAATATTTTTATTAGGAAATTTTAGGCAACATTTTTCAAATCATAATGCATTATACAGAAAAATTTTATATAGAGGATAATTGTATACATACAAAGACAGGCAATGAATAACAACAGTATTAAAGATCATTGCTAAGACTCATCAACCTCTTACCATAGGCTTTATACTCTCTATCCTGTTTAATCTTTACAACCACTCTACGGGGGTGGGTATGATGACTTTCCTGACTTAATAGTTAAGAAGCGGGTTTAGAAACTGTTTATACAGTTAGTAAGCAGTAGAGCAGGAATGTGAACCAGTCCAATTCTGATTCAACCACCACATTTGTGCACCGAACTTAAGTGTTAGTATTATCATCATATCACCCACATTCATACATATGTCAATATTCTAGACTCCTGAGGCAAGGAAGCCAAAGCCCCTTATTATTAAAACTTTTTAAAATCGTAAAATAATCATAAGCAAATAGAGTGAATTTCTAAGCTAAATCACAAAGCTTCTAATTAAAAATGGTTCTGCTTGAAACCTGCTTGGGGAAACACCCCTAGACCAAAGGAGTCCTTGTTCTCACCCCTCCCCTAATTTTATTATTTTGTTGAAAAATTTGTACTAGTCTGCTCAATGAATATGTGTGTGCAGGTATTTGACCTGAACCATGGATCCTTGATCTTCATATTTAAAACTGAATCTGTTTGAGGGGTCTGTTATCTTCATGTCACATTAGAGAGGAATGGTTTAGCCTTCTTTTGAGCTGTAAGCTTATTAACATAGCCTAGTGTACCCCTACAAACCACAGTAGCTGAAGGGTGACTGCCTCCTTCCCCTTCGCCTGACAATTATGCTGTGATTCACATTGTGTGGTTTCTTTGATTAAAAAACAAAACACATTTTATTCTGTAGCATTTTTCATTTAACAAGTTAGAAATGCAAAAAAAAACAAATCATCCTTGTGCCCTACCTCTCTAAATCTTACCCGCATTCATGACTATCTTAGGAAAGGGCTTTGAAAACCAGAAAGCACTAAACAAACATAAGGCCTCATGTAATTAGACAATGAGGGGGTCATTTAGTGCCCTAGAGTGCAGTGGAGTTTCCCTTTTCAGCATCTGAATGATTTTGGTTATACCCATGGCAGTGCTGCTATAGCTAAACAGAGAAGTGCATGGTAACTTTGAAATATTTTGGACTTATTGATCCTGAACCTCTCTTAAGAAAATAAATGAGTATCCAAAATTCCTCATGGGCCCCCAAAGGACATTTATAAATAGAATATCCTTGTCAGCTTAAGGCCAAACTGGCTACAGAATTCGTCTAATTACTAAGAGACAGGGACTCAAGCCCTTGAAAAGATTCTAGGTACAGCCATGGCATGCACCTGCATTCACCTCTAATTATTCATATTTTTCCTGCTAAAACTTTGAAAAGTTATTTTATTTTTCCACTGTACTCTCTTTTAACTGTGGATCTAATCTGGTAAGAAATATCTATAGGATGGTCATAGAATATGAAACCAAAGCAGGTTTATATTCCATGGTAAGATGATGCATGTGCAGACTCTAACTTAGGGAAATAAAAGGCTTTGTAAAATTTATTTCAATATATGAACATCTACATGTTCATATAGCTGAGGCTATATGAACTGAGGCACTAGCTGAGGAACTTTTTGATTCATTCATAAAATGAGTTATGACATTATCACCGTCATCTGACACATCTCAGGACTTTAGTCTTCCTACTGTAACTGTGTATTGCATTCACCTATCCAAGATAACTCTTAGAGAGTGATCTAAGCTTCCTTAAAAATGCATTCAGTGTCAATGCAAACTGATAATATTCATCGCAATTTCACTGTTCCCAGGGGAAGTCCCCTCCAAAATACAATTCCACAGTCCATTGCTATTCAGGGAGCAGGGCCAATGCTTTTCTTCACTCTTTCTGTCCCTAAGCTTCATTTGCATGCACAGGAGAAAAGGACATCCAACACAAGAGAGTGACAAGCCAAAAGGTCGAGGATCAGCACAGTGATGTGCTTTATAATATTTGCTTAATTAAGTGAGCTTCACAAAGTACACAAGGAGGTTTATACTTACCACTTAGGACACAGTAATCAAATTAACAGAACACTGTGAAACTCATTCTCAATTTCTTGTTCTAGTAGGAGCAAATAATGACACGTAAAATTGTGTAACACACATATATGTTTGAGGTACTTCACAAACATGTACATTTAATGGGGTTATTTTACCCTACATATTTAATGTTTAATAATTAAAACTACCTGAAATTCTTCTACTACATTCTATTTTGGCAGTGGTAGAAAGTAGCCCCATAACATGCTGGATAGAAGAGTACACCCATTTAGGTTGAAAAATCCACCATAGTTAATCCTCAAAAGTGAAGTTTTTGCATCCTATAGTCAGGAGTTGCTAGGCATTTGATTAAATACCCCAGGCATTTCATTCCCAACCTACTTTCATTTCTCCCCCAACTGGCAAACAAGAGAAATTAGACCAAGAACCCAAAGAAACAAAGTGTGTACTTTAATACAGAAATGCTTTTACCTGCCATCCTGCTGTGAATGAAATGGGCTGGGCTTTCAAAATGTTCGTCAGCTTAACTCCCAGTTGGTGGCACTGGGAAAACGTAGCCTCTCAGTCTTATTGCTGTGTTTCTGTTCTTTAACTGCCAACTGGAATACAATAGAGGATTCAAATGGAAACAAAAGAGAGATGGACCCAGAAAGAACCAGAAGGACGACAATAAAGCAAGCCAAGAAAATGCTAAGGAGCCAAAGACACTGCGTTCCCCAAAGTCGGCATCCCAGGCCCTCTTCACATGGAAGATAATTAGGCTTCCGTTAATTGCCACTTCCCCTCACAGAGTCATGATATTTTACAAATCGCAAATTATCTAGTAGATGCTTTGCTTTGCGACATTTTGGGAAAGTCATAAGCTATGCTTAACCCAAACAGAGAATGACTATATTACATTGCTCCGACGTGGATAATTTATTTTACATATTATGAGGGATTTTACGTAAACATACAGAGTAGCCGTGTTGAACACAGTAATATTTTTGGACCACAAAGACAGTGCCTCCATTCTCATGGATTACAGTATATGTAGCATACACAGAGGACTATATATTTTTATTCTCATATTGCATCAACAGGTACCTGGAACTTTACTTATATTCAGCTTCTCCATCATCTCGTCATTGTTTTTTGTACTTTTTTTCTTCTTACAGCAGACATTATATTATTACAATAGTAGACACAAGGCTGCCACTTATCACACAATCCTCATGTCCTCTTTTAACTTCAGAATGTGTCAAAGTATGTATACCATTGTCTTTGGTTTGTGCACATTTAAGAATTCACACATCAAAAGTCAAACTTTGTCCAGGGTTACAGAGAAGCACGCCCTTCTCATTCCCCCCTCCCCAAGAATAATGATGCACACAATTTATGTTTTAATTTAAATATGCTGTATGATGTATTGAGTTATAGTTTTCTAAGCTGCAAAGGATGAAAAAAAAACAGTAAAAAATAATGTGACTTACACAGAAACAAAATACATTCAGTAGCCTGGCTTTTAGGTCACAGTTTAAATAATGTATATGAAGCTTTATATTATAGATTTCTATATCAAATGGATAAATGAAAACTTTCATGGGCCTGGGATAGTCATAAGTAACATCACATGAAATCACATCTTATGGGACATGATAAAATCTTACCTTATCAGATGTGACATCCAAAATGTTGCATTTTCCCTGTGATTTTATTAATAATGCAGGAGCATCCTTCTAATAGAGAATCTCCTTTATAAAGCACTGTCTTTGGTATTAATCAGAGTCAGAGTATTAACTAGGTGATCAGTACAAAATGTAAACAAGTCTTGTGTTTTCAGTCAGTCTGAAAGTTCAGAATAAGAAAAAAAAAGTAAGAATTTTCAACTGGTCAGCAAAAATCAATACTACAGTTTTTATAATACTGTGAACTTGCTAGCATTTTATATTTTAACTATCTTTTTATGTTATTTTATTTATAGGGATGTGGTCTCTGCTACCCAGGCTGGAGTGTAGCGGCACAATCATAGCTCACTACAGTCTCAAACTCCTGGGCTCAAGTGGTCCTCTCACCTTAGCCTCTAAAGTAGCTGGGATTCCAGGTGTGAGTCACTGCACCAGGCTTAACTTTCTTACAATCCATTTTTGATCCTACAAATTACTAAAACTCAAATTGTGTCTATCCCCAGACAAAGCAAGATGGTAATTTGTCAATTTTCTACTTTGACACCTAAATTATTTTCATTAATCTTCTACTTCTCAAATTCATTATAAAAATGAACAATTTACCATCTCACTTCACATGAGGAAGATATTATAGATTGTAGATCCCAGGGTAGAACAACCAAACACTACCTGGGGACAGATGAACATGCATGCGTGCATAACTTGAATTGTTCCAATTATTCTTTTGCTTATAAAGCAATTTCTATATGATCTCCAGAAGCCACTTGGAAGCAAGATCCATTAGCATGCAACATTTTCTACTTCCGGAAGCCAACTCATAATAAATCTCTTACCTTGTAGAGAGAGGGAATAGCACAGGGCTCATAACAGGATGAGTGATGCATAAAATGTTCTTCAGCTGACTTCCCATGGGATTTATATTTCCAAACCTAGGAACATCGTCTGCCTGCACGGATGCAATGCTAAGCAATGCAGTCAAACAACCAATACGTTACGTATAGTTTTATAACTTTAAGAAATCTAGAAGAAACTGTAAAATATGTAAACAAGTAAGTTTGTGTCTAAACATTATAGCACAAATTAACTAGAAAAATACACAGTTTAAATAAGGAAGGTCAGTGATGGTCTCATATTTTAAGTCTGATTGTGATTATGAAAATAATATGCTATTTCTTAGAAACTGACTGGTTGCTGCATTCTTGGTTATAGGTTTAAGAGAGAGACTCTTGCATATTGCATTAACACGAGTATTCCACAAAGAAATCACAGGATCTGAATTACAGATAAAATGTCAGTCAAGGCGTCTATTTGGGGGATTTATTTTTCAAAAGTAACCAAGAGAATAAAGAAAAGAATCTAAGAAAATAAATAAGAAAAATACATATGTTAAAATTCTACTTACATTTTCTCATTTATTTGTTTGAAAAGGTATCACTAATTTTTTTACAGTACAGTTTCAAGTCAGACTTACTTCCAGTCTAAATTTAGCCTCTGTTCATTGTGTCGTATTTCTGCAGGCATGGGAAAGAAAATCAATGCCCCTACTCACCTTTGGAAGAATTTCACTGCCAAGTCTCCACGGTTCTATGGGATCCAATAATCCGTGGCTCAGTATTGATTTTTCTATGACACCTGTAGAAACAGCCTCTCCTTCCTTTCTAACAAAATATAGCAACAAAAATTGTGTAGTTTCTGAATGAATTAAGCATAGGTTATCAAGCACAACCTCATCGTGTAAGGCAATGTGGTTTGTCTTTTCCTAAAAAATGTTGACGTGGCTTGATTTTTTTCTGAGTCATTTAACAACTGTTTGAAGGCAATGTGAACATCTATTTGTAAAAATAATTTGAACATAACTTTCCTAGGTTTCTGGCACCTAACTTCTGTATTGAAATAGCATTTATTCTCCTAAGGAACTAGACAAATGGTAAAGCCTATCTGAGTTCAATTCCCAAAGTATCTCCAAAATCAAAATCTTTTTGAACACACAAAACTAGAATCATGCTTTTAAAATCTAAAGCTTTGATGAAATACAGGACCTTTAAGGGAGTAAATAGGGCATATCAAATCTTAGGAGAGAGAATGGGTTAAATTTGGGGTGTATTTTATCGCATTACAAAAGTTGGAAAAACAGGCAAAAAGCATCAGCCTTTCTCTTTTCTCAACAAACACAGTCCAAAACACACACACACACACACACACACACACACACACACACACACATACAAAACAACAAGAAGTCATGTTTCCAATATTCTTTACACACCTGATTTAAACCTCAAAGGTATTTATTTCACCCTGAGCAGATTCTTTGGGCATGTCTGATTCTATTTCCCCGCAGCCATTCTGCGCTGAGTGGAGTCACTACAGCTGGCAACCTACTCCATCACTCACTCCGTCATCCTGAGAATCTGCAAAATAAAAATGCAGTGTTAAAAAAAAGAAAAAAAAATTCTTTTACCTTTGCTTTTCCTGGTAAAATCCTAGGGAAAAAAAAATATGAGGCAAGGTGTTTCCCACAATGTACGTGACATCTTTGTTAAAAGTGACAGGACCATGTTGCACTGTGACAGGTTTAGTGTTAAGACCTGACAGAGATAAACCTGCAGGAACAACCTCCCTGCCACAGGTATTTAAGCTCATGTGAAAACTTTGATTTGATAGTCCCTTGATTAGCTTTTGGAACAGTGAGTGCTACTGCCTTTCAAGTTCATTATAAATTACGGAATTCTTCACAGTACTGTCAACTTAAGCTCTTGTTTTACTAAAAGGCAGGCATTTTAACCACTCATCAAACCTGTGCATATTTTTCAGTTAAAGAATTAGATCAATCCAAACTCCAGTTCTCAAGGGAGAAGTTCCATTGTTTATCAGGCCATGTCTACACTGGCTGAGCAAAGCGCTCTGTTCAGAAGGAGAAGCGCCTTTGGCAGCTAGAGTCCACATAGCTGATCCATGGACGCTCGGGTGGAGTTTCTTCACCTAATTACACAAGTGCAATGAAATTACTGAACATTTGATGGAAATGACCCATGACAACAAAATAGCATGACATGATTGTTGTTCTAATCTATTTACATGGTAGTCATTTAAAATGTAATTCAAAGAATCTGTAAGAATGAGAAGATGCTTACACTTAGAGCAGATGATGAATATGGGTATTGAAATACTTGATAACTCAACATTTGGTTTTACCCAAGTCATTCTTTCTAAACAAGACAGTGGTGTCACAAATTTTAAAATGAAATACTTTTTCCTAACTGGTCCAGGTTAAGCTCACAATGCTTATATTTACAGAGAGAAATTCACAGAGTTTAAATAATTAAAAAGATGATTTTAATCTCAACAAAACAGATTAAAAGGTAATCAACCTTTTGGAGAAAATATTTACATTTTTCCAACTTGCTCAGTCAAGATTTAGTAACATCTATAGGTACATTCGATTCTAGTGACAATATCGTGCCCTTGACTCATCTTGAACGTTTTAGATAAAAACTGGTTTAGCAGAAATGTTCTACTAACAGCCATGAAATTATAAGCTTTCCCTTTCATCCATCCAAACACACACCACCCTGCGAAATAATAGAAACAAACACTAATCACCTTCGGAATTTTGCCAGCCTTCCCCATAGGTGAGCTGCAGAGTTGGACTAAATTGTTGCGGAGTAATAAAGCCTGTCTCACCCCTGTGAATGCTCTCAGAGGGCTTCAGAGTGCATCCATTTCAATTCATCGAAGAAAGCAGAAGTAAAGATTTAACTGTGTGGGAATCTATCAGAGCTTACCTCTATCAATATCTCCCCAAAATAAATAGTAAGTCAAACTCAAATTCAGTTTCCCTAATCACTTAGAATTTGCAGATGGGAGTAGCTCATAATTTTTCTTTTTTTGCCAATCCCAACTTCAGATTTTCAAGATAAGTATCTAGTCACTCTGTTTCAGTTGGTAGTCATTCATACAATTTATACATCAAATCCTTTTTTAATGGGTGAAAAATTCCAACTTCAGATGGAGTCATGGCAATGTCTGGCTGATTAGTTTTTTAAATTACCACTCAAATTATAAAACAAAAGAAATCTAGTTGCTCTAATTGCCTTATTTAGCAAAGTTAATCTACGATAAGTTGAATTTTGTATCTTCTGAAAACCTGAGAATGTTTAAATATAAATATAATTGTTGCCAAAAATGTTTCAGTCACCTGATGATGATGAAGATGGTAGTGGTGGTGGTGATAATAAAAGTAGCAAACGTCCTAATGGTACTTGACTATGTGCCAAGCACTGTCCTAAATGCTTGTGTATAGAAACTCATTTAATCCTCCAACAACCCTAAAAGATAGATACTATTAGCCCAATTTAACAGATGAGGAAACAGGATTACAGAGACAGCAAGCTACTTGCCCTGGTTCATGTAGTTAGTAAATGGTAGGGCTGGATTTGAATCTGCGCAGTCCGGCTCCAGTGTCTATACTCTCTTAGATGGTGATGTGCTTGGCCTAGCCACAGTGATGAAGCTGGCATATCATTATGCATAGACATTTAAATTAAAACGTGGTGTTTTGACATTGCTTCTTTCCTTCCTATATGAATGGAATTAACATGCCTGGAACCAGAGCTTGACTTTCTCAACTACTCTGTCCGCCAGGCTCATTCTTCTAAACTCACTCAGGATTTCCTTTACACCTTTCAAAACTTATATTTTAAGATATTTGTAAATGTGAAAAATGTCAAATAAAGGAACTGTAAAAATAAAAAATTTTAATTTTTTATTAAAAATTAAATTGGGCCTAAGAATAACAGAGCATGTACCTAAATGTAACCTCATGGGATCAGGCCTACTGAGGTCAAATCCTAATGCTATCTATTCCAAGTTGGACAAGTTGTTTTATTTCTCTATGTCTTAGTTCTGTTGTCTATAAAATGAGAATGAAAATAGTGCTATAGTTTAGGATTGTGAAGATTAAATAAATTAATCCATATAAAATGCTGACCCCACTGCATGATAAGCAAACATTTGATAAGTATAAACTTCTGTTATTATATTTAGTTTATATAGACTAGCCTTCAGCTGCAACTAAGCATTGACAATTAAAATTTGTCCTTGTAGTGTGAAAGTATTAACAGAGATTTAAGAAAAATTTGTTGTTCTCACAGGAAATCCTTTCAGCGTAGGGAAAATTTGGCTTTAAAAATTCACTGAGACATATTTTCACAAATAATTTATTACCCCTATTTTCAGGAACACAGACAAATTACGGATTATGACAAAACCACTTAAAAAGTCATCAGAGTTTATGATGTTAACACCTAAAAAGCTAAAAGTAGCCTTTTTGTTCTTAAGACAGGGTCTTTCTCTGTTGTCCAGCTGGCATGCAGTGGCATGATCACGGCTTACCGCAGCCTTAATCTCCTGGCCTCAAGTGATCCTCCTGCCTCAGCCTCCCGAGTAGCTGGGACTACAGGTGCAGGACACCATGCCTGGCTGATTTTTTTTGTATTTTTAGTAGAGATGAGGTCTCACTGTATTGCCCAGGCTGGTCTCAAACTCCTCAGCTCAAGTGATCTTTCCACCTCAGCTTCCCAAAGTGCTGGGATTACAGGTGTAAGCCACTGCAGCTGGCCTGAAAGTAGCTTTTTCCATATGGCAAGATTTTAAATAACATAATTCATATTTCTAAACAGAGTTACTTAAGTCAAATTGACCTTGATAGCAGTGATTCAATTTTAACAATTGAGCAATTAAACATCAGTAAAATTGTCCATTATCTTCAGCTTGTCCATTTTTTAATTCACACTTCTCAATAATCTGAGTGCTTAGGCTTATGTTTAAGTCCCAACTCTTTGAGGTCACATGGGTGAATTAGAAATGGTTACTCTGGAACATAAAATAAAAATGTCTATCCCAAAGAAAAAGTAATACAGGGACTAGGAGTAAATTAATTACTGAGCATCCAACTTGCATAGAGCTATTCGGTAAGTGCTATAGAGAGAAAACAAAATGGATTGAAACCTTTTTGCTTCAGTTCTAAAATGGGCACCTTGACCAGAGACAGCGTGAAAACCCCAGAGGCCCAGAAGCTATTCTAGGTAAATCTCACACTTTCGCCTGGATATTCCGAGGATGCACTCAACTGTCTTTTTCCAGTTTGGTCACCATGGAACTTGAGAGCCTCTTGCTGGTCCCCAAGGAGCTGACAGTAAAGAGAGACACATTTGCCTCATGTCCCAGTACCTCAGAGACCAGATATTCTTCGGCAATCCTGAAATAAAGAAAGTCTTAATATATAGCTAGTGCCTTGGTCAAGAATTAAAGTTTTGAATAAAGGAGTTGGTGTGTAGCCTCATCTGGGACAAAGAGAATAAACTGAAAACCAGGCACAATCAATGTGCCTCCATGTTAATCCTAACTGCACTCACCCAGGCTCCCCACTGCAAACTCTGACTCCCAGCACTGCAACCTCTCCCTCCCAAGTTCAAGCAATTCTCCTGCCTTAGCCTCCTGAGTAGCTGGGATCACAGGCATGCAACACCGGCTTATTTTTGTATTTTCAGTAGAGACGGCATTTCACCATGTCGTCAGGCTGATCTCGAACTCTTAACCTCAGGTGATCCACCTGCCTCGGCCTTCCAAAGTGCTGGGATTACATGTGTAAGCCACCGCACCCGGCCAGAAAACTCTCATTCTGAAATGGGATCTCAGCAGTCATCAGCTTCAAGGTCTCTAGATGAGGACAGCATGTCCCAGAGACAGCCATCTGCCAGAAGTCTCATAGAGTGAGCAGCAGTTTTAGAATTAGAACCCAAGGAGATGGTTGAAGTGTTAGAGTAGAAACGAATTCTTCATAGCAATTAAATGATTAGAAGCAAAATGGAAACACAAGGAAAGACACAATGACTTCTACTGTCAAGAGATGTCAGCAACCTCAACCGTGAATTATTGGCACAGACAACCAGGGCGATGTGAAGAACAAAGACTGCCAGGAGCTGAACGAGGCAACCTGGTTTCACTGAGAGCATGAGCCTTCCCTAGCAAAGGGAATGGACTGTTGCAGTAACTATGTGGGGAAGTTATCTGATGTTCAGATTTCCTATCTGAGAGCATCTTTGTTACTTAACCACAGTGTCAGTCACAGTGTTATCTCCAGTATCTTCAACAAGCATTATTAGCTGCAACTATTACTGCTGCTACTCTATGACCTCCCCCAACTCAGCTGCTTGAGGTTCATTAAATGTGTTTTTCAGATTTTCTGAACAAAATACAAAAATTTTATTTTCTTGTGGCAGTTTCATTTTTTTTTTATTGTTGCATGTTTGGGTCTCTTTTAAAGATATTTAGATATTTAAGTTTTAGAAAGGATACTCCTTATTTCATATCATATATGAAATCCAACAAATAATCTCCAAATATCAAA